CTTTGAACTGAGGCAGAGTCTGAGTGAACACGTGGTTTAGGTAAAGAGCTTTTGACCAGATCCCCCAGACAGTGTGACACTGACTTGTCCATTTTGCAGCTGCTTTTCAGCAGACTTCTGCCTGGGAGCAGCCAGACTGGTCAGTGGTGGTGGTGCATTCTGACCGGCAACTCTTTTCCTGACAGAGGGACTTGTCAGGATTTTGTAGTCGTGGAGGCTGACATGAATCTCTGCAGCTGGACCCGCTTTGCAATGATCCTGATACTGCTCTAACGCTGACCATGGCACACTGAATCTGAGAGTCAGAATATTCAGTTATGAATGACATATTGTTAAGGGGTTTTTTTCCTCACCAGACCTTATATAAGTCATCTGGTTGTGGAAAATAAATGCTGGACAATCTCTTCTCTGATATATTATGTTCTACTAAGGCAACTCAGCAACAAAATTCCTGTACGCAGTTATATTTTCAATGCATTACTGAAACAAGCTGGCAGGCAGTTTTTGTGTTACATTGAGAGACGGGAAAGTTAATTCACACACAGAATCACAGAATCACAGAATCACAGAATGGTTAGGGTTGGAAGGGACCTCTGGAGATCATCTAGTCCAACACCCCCGCCAGAGCAGGGTCACCTACAACAGGTTGCACAGGACCCTGGGCAAGGTGCAAAGCGTTGCCTCGCTGCTCTGACAAACTGAGCCACAGCCCACACCACAATTTGCTCCACTGCCCTCAAAGTAAAGAAGTTCCTCCTCATGTTAAGATGGAACTTCCTATGTTCAGGCTTGTGCCCATTACCCCTCGTCCTATCACTGGGCACCACTGAAAAATGACTGCTCCCATCCCCCTGGCGCCCTCCCTTTAAGTATTTGTAAGTATTAATAAGATCCCCCCTCAATCTTCTTTTCTCTAGACTAAAGAGACCCAAGTCCCTAAGCCTTTCCTCTCATATAAGAGATGTTCCAATCCCCTAATCATCTTTGTAGCCCGTTGCTGGACCCTCTCCAGCAGATCCCTGTCCTTCTTGAACTGGGAGCCCAGAACTGGACGCAGTATTCCAGATGCGGCCTCACCAGGGCAGAGTAGAGGGGGAGGATG